TTTTTTCTTTTTCTTCCTTTTTTTTTTTTTTTTTTGTTTTTTGTTTTCTTCTATCAATGAATCTTTGATTGAAATTAATTATTTAATTACTAAACCTTAACGAATTTATTTTAAAGATGTTTATTTTAATTTTTATATTGCGGAGGGCAGTAAATAGCTGATAGAAAGTGAAAAATATTATTTAAAATAATTTTAAGAAGCAATAATAGTAATAAATTCGTATTAATAAATGTATTAAAATTGCCTTGTATATGTTGTATTAATTTATTTCTAAATCCTCTATTCAAAGTAATGTGTATTCATTGTACATTCTTTTTTATCAAAATCTTATGTACAATTTGACTTATTTCATACAATTATATATATGCATTAGATGAACTTTTTCTCCATCAATTAATTAACATAATAGTATTTTAAAATTCATTAATAAATATATAAAAAATAATAATAAATTTTGAAGTTTAAATAGTATCGTTTCAATAAAATTTTATATCTTCAACTTTTTAATATCAATTCATCATTTCCCTAACAACATTTTTCACAATAGATGTGCAATAATTATAGAATGGTGGTGCTTAAATATATGAATTGAATTTGGCTAAATTTGATTTGATGATTTATCATATTTAGTGTTTGTTAGCAACTACCTTTGTTTTGTTATTTCAGCCCCATGGACCCATCCGTACCTCCCAAGCACCCAGTAGTGAGGTACGTTGCTATATGCCATAATACCATGATCCACGCATTCTAATTTCACATTTTATATCCTTTTCTTACGTTTTTATATTTTTTTTTTTATGTTTTTATTTTTTCTTTTTTTATTTCTTTTTATTGCTTTCTATTTTTTCTCTTCCCTTTTTTCTTTTTTTTTTTCTTTTTCGTTCGTTATTATAATCATTCAATTCTTTTTCTTTTCGCTTAGATTATTTTTTATTAAAGCTTAATCACAACGTAAATTCATTTCTATAATGTAATATATAGAATAAATTGGCGTCTTTTTCTGTAAAACAATATGTTTCTTATTTGGAAAACAATGTTATGACATATATTAAACAATACAAAGAACACTGATATATATTTAATTACCGTTCATTTGTCTTTGATGCAAAACAAATGCACAATTTAAATAAGGCGTAATAATTACGTAATTTTAATTAATTTATTAATTATATTGTAATATAAATTTTATTTTCTAATAATCCACTAAATGATCTTTATAAAATTCTTCATTCTTGATTCCAAAAGCCAAATTCTATCATCCTTAAATTCCAAAAAATTTTTTGTAAAAACACGGGAAAATAGTAAACTTATTACATGAAAATTAAAAGCTTTAAATTAATTTTAAAACACAGAATTTAAAAAAAAAACATTCTAAATACCATAATGTCAATAATTTGTATTAATTTTGAATAATTGTAAATGAGAAAAAAAAGCATCAAAGTTTAAAAAAACTAAATGCAAGTAGTTCTTATATATTATTTTTAAATTTTTATGTTTTTTTGACATATATTTTATACACAATATCTAATTTTATATATATTTTTGAAAAAAAAAGTGTCGAAATACTTTTTAATTCGAATGGATTGAAAAATAGTAATTGGTAGCATATGCATGGTATTTTGTTATTATGTGATTATTCTTTGTGCCGTAACTACGCTTAATTAATATCAATAAAATTGTTCATAGGACATTTACTTTTTACGTATAATATTTAATTTTTTTTTAATTTTTTATTGTTTAATTTTTAAAAAAATTTTCTCTTTACTTGTTTTTAAATATTCATTTCAATTCTAATTTAATAAATTATAATGATTCATATTAATTTTGATTTTTTTTTATATTTTTCCTATTTTCTTATAATATTTTTTTTCTATAATTTATAGAATTATAATATTAAAAAAATATTCCTAAAAAATATTAGATTTTTTGTCAATTATTAGAGAATTATTTAAAAATTAAACAATAAAAAGTTATAAGAAAAAAATAAACTTTACGTGTAGAAAGTTCCCAATTTCAATTCAACAATTTTGTTGATGTTAATTATAGTATTGACAAATAGACAAAGTAATAATTGTATGATGGCAAAATATTATGCACATGTTATCGATTACTATTTTTTAAAATTTTATTCAATAATTAAAAACTCTTTCGACTAAATCATTTTTTTTTTTTAGAAATGTATATAAAATTTGGTATTGTATTAGAAACTTATATTAAATAAACATAATTTCTTTAAAAAAATTTCTATTTATTAAAAATAATAAAAAACAACCTAAAAACTATTTTCACTAGAAAGAAGGAATGCAGATCAGAATGGGAAAGGAACACTTCATATTAACTTCATAAGGAACACATTTTTTGTTCTAATTTTTGTTCTATTTATTAATTGGATATCTATATTAATACAATTGTATATATACAATAACATATATAACAATAATATCATTGTATATATACAATGATAGAGAAAAGCATTTTTAATAATTAAAAAAATAGTAATGTATATGTATGGGTAAAGTGTATGTATATGAGACATATATATACTAGTATTATATTAAAATAATTAATAGTTTCGAAAATATTTCAATTTAATAATTCTCACAAATGACTCATTTTTAAAATAATTTCATGAGTGAAAATAATTATATCTTATTTGTACATTAAAATTCCTTTATTCACAATTTTGAATGTTTAATCTTCTACTCTATATATAATATGAATCAATAAGAATTATATAATTCCAAGAACGTCAAGACATAGATAGATATAATAAACTAATGTTACCGAAAAACCTCATGCTTTTCTATTATCTCGTGATACTTTTCTAATATTAAACAATATTCATTTTTTTTTACTTTGATGTTTATTTACAATTATTTA